CCCCAACTCCCACTCCCACAGACAAGCCTCCCGCAACCCCTCTTCAACCCCTCGCCAAGCAGCTAGCCTCGGGCCCGTCCAGCCGAGAATGTCAATATCAATATAATCACCACTACTCTGTCTCCCATCCTCATCCCAACCCCCATCCTCAACCCTATCATCCACCTCCCTCCACCCAGCCAGCAGCAAGCCCCGAACGAGCAGCTGCTTAGTGAGTTTCTTTTCGGCGTCTGCTGCTGCTTTGCCTTCATCCCTTTCACCATCCTTACTCTCACCCCGTCGTTTTTGGCCTTGTGCTTGTCCTCGTCCCTCTCTTCGTCCACCTTTACCATCTACATCGCCGGAACCGAAACCAAAGCCGGACCCAAACCCAAAGAATCGAGAGGTGGAGCTGGAGCCGAGAGATTGAGAGCGAGAGCCGGAAGAAGCAGAAGCAGAAGCAGCAGCAGCAGCAAGTTTCTTACTAGCTTTCCAAGTGAGAAAGGAGTCGATGTCGATGTCGATATTAAGATCGATGTCGGGATTAAGATTGAGATTGAGATTGAGATCCTCCCTTCCTTCTTCTTCTTTTGTCCCAATCTTTCTTTCACTCTTACCATCATCACCACTGTGCCCATGCCCATGCCCATCCCCTCCCTCCTCCTTCTTCCACTTCTCTTCATAAAACCCCCTCAACGCCTCCTCCCCTTTCTTCCACCCTTCCCCCTCCCCTCCTAACAACCCAATCCTCTCCCGTACCCACTCCCGCTCAGCAGCTACGCGAGCTTGAAAAGCTGCCGTCGCGCAACGGAGGAGGGCGCGCGCGAGGAGGGAGCGGAGGTGTGTGATTAGAGAAGAAGAGGAAGAGGAAGAAGGCGCAAGGGCAGAGAGGAAGGTGAAGAAGGGGGAGTTTGGATGGGGGGGGAGGGGGAGGGTCAGCCGCAACCGAACCCGAGAAATGCGCATCAATATGCCGCGCGGATTTCCCATGCGCGTGCTCGATGGCGCGGAAGGTTTGGGCGAGGGTGGATTGGAAGGCTGAGAGGGCTTGGGTTTGTTGGGTTTGGGAAAGAGAGGGGGTGGAAGGGGGGTTAAAGGGGTAAGAGGAAGGAGAAGATGCCGGCACGAAAGGCAAGAAAGGAAAGTCGCGCCAGATGTGCAGGTTGTGAGGATCTGCTGCTGCTGCTGTTCCTCTCTCGCTTGTGCTTGTGCCTTTGTGACTGCGACTCAAGTGATCCTGCAGACGGGTATCGATCCAAGCGTCGAATCCCGCTGTAGTGTTTTGCAGTAGGTCGATAAGTGTGAGAAGGAGGAATGGTGATGTTGATGGTGGTGTCGATGCCGATGCCAAGAAGGGAATCAGATTCTTATACGTGAGATTGAGATTGAATTGCGTATTGAGTTTTTGTTGGAGGGATTGGATGTATTCTGCTGTTGTTGTTGTTGTGGAAGAGGAAGAGGACGAGGATAAGGACGAGGAATAAGACGGCGGGAGAAAGTCGGCGCAGAAAGGATGAGGACGATATTGGCTTGCAAACGGGTGTTGGTTTGCATATGGCCGAGACGTGAGAGGGTTCGAGTTGGGATCTGGAGGAGGGGAGGGGAGAGGATTAGCGAGGTGCTGTATATATAGATGTATGTATGGATGGATAGATGGATATGGTAGATGTGATGAATCCCGGACTCGATAGATGGACTTGGATCCGGACTCGAAAGATGGACTTGGATCCGGACTCGAAAAGAAAAAAAAGAAAAAAAAGAAAAAAAAGAAAAAAAAGAAAAAAAAGAAAAAAAAGAAAAAAAAAAAGAAAAAAAGAAAAGAAAACTTACCATCCATCTTCCTATCCCATCCTCGTCCTCGTCCTCCATTACCTCCATCATCAACCCCCTCGTCCCCTATCTCCATCCCCGTCCCTAACATCCTCCCTACCATCACCGCCGCCTTCAAACCCACCACCGCCATCACCGCCGCCGCGACCCCCCAGATCCAAACCGAGCTTTCTCTTAACGGCGTCCTATCCCGTCGTCTCCTTCCGCGAAGCCTCCCTCGCGGCGAGCCATCCGCCCGACCACTTTGGCGCTGCTGCTGCTGGTGCTGGTGCTGATCCCATCCTTTTCCCTTATCACTATCATCACTATCATCACTATCATCACTATCATCACTATCATCACCCCCATCACCCCCATCTTCCCCTCCTCGAGAAGCCGCAGACGACGACTCCGACGACTCCGACCACCGCGACGACTCCCGCTGCCTTCCAATCGCAAGATCCGCTGCTTGATTTGCGCCGCGGCGGGATCGTCCCGACGAAGACGAAGAGGAGGACTGCCGTGCTGCTGCGGCTGCGCGCTCTTGTCGCTGTTCGAGTCTTTCGCGTCGACGGTGGGCGCGGATGGGGTTCTGGAGGTCGGTGATAGCGTTGTCGATGAGAGCGCTGAGGGGGGGAGGAGGGGGAAGGGGGGGGAGGGGGAGGGGCAGGAAGACGGCGGGTTGGTGATGGTGTTGGAAGGGAGGCCATTGACTTTGGGGTGGGTGGGTAAGTGAATAGATAGAAGATGAAGTGGAGGTAGGTAAGTAAGTGAATAGATAAACGTCTGAATAGATAGACAAGCAAGCAGGTAGGTAAGTAGGTAGGTAGGTAGGTAAGTACACAAGAACCTAGATCTCAACGATCGAGTATTGCAAGCGGGACACCCAAATCAATTACTGAATATGAATGAATCCTTCGACACGGAAATGTATTTCTAGCATTGAGCGCGCGAGACGGATGTGGAGATAAATATCGCGATGGATATACGCACATATCCATCTACTCATTCCTCGATACATATTCGTACTTGACTCCCCGATAAACAATAAATAGTAAACAATCAACAATAAACAATAAACAATCAACAATCAGCAATCAACAATCCTAATCAAGAAACAAAGACACGCGGAATGTACTTCCCCCTCCCTCCTTCCTCTCCCTTACTTCCCTCCTCCCTCCCTCTTCCTATCTATCAACACCCGCGCACGCGCACGCGCAACGGCTGGAATGAATGACTGAATGCATATATGAACGAGATAAATAAACGAGACAAAACAAAACAAAACAAGATAAAGTAAAACAAAACGATTAAAATAAAACAGAACAAAACAAAACCAAATAGGATAGAATGGAATGCATCCAAAAGTAAAGTAACCCACTACTGCTCTTCTTCGCTGCACGCCGTTACTCAATTGATCAGTCAGTCAGTTAATCTATCGGTCGATCACTTAATCAATCAATCGGTCGATCACTTCACCAACCAGTATCCAAATCCCCAACCCAACCATAACATTTGCATTCGCGATCTCTTTTTTTCGTGATGCGTGCGTGCGTGTGTGCGTGCATATATGCGTGCATATATGCATATATGTATGCATGCATATGCAAGTATGTAGATTTCATATTTTTAAATATAAAGTCGATAAGTAAGTAAAAGCAAGGGGTAAGTGATATATGTGTGGATATGTGTACATGCATATTTATTATATGAAATAGATGAATGGATGGACGAATAGGTGAATGAGTGGCTCGTGAGTAAGAGGGGATAGATAAATAAATAAATAAATAAATAAAAAGGATGGGAGAAGAAGGGTGTTAGTCTAGTCTTGGTCTGGTCTCATCTTACCTTGCTTTGGTTTTAATCCGAATCCGAGTCTGAATCCAATCCGAGTCCAGTCTAGTTCGAGTCCAATCCGAGTCTGAGTCCGAGTCCGAGTCCGAGTCCAATCTAATCCAAGTCCAGTCCGAGTCCAGCCCAGTCGAGTCGGATCCGAGTCCAGTCCAATCCAGTCCAGTCCGAGTCCGAGTCCGAGTCTGAAGCGAAAAGAAGAGCAAGCAAGCAAGGGAAAAAGATATGGCCGTGCCGTGCAGTACAATTCAATGCAGGGTCTCGCAAGCCAACCCACCCCACACAACACCACAGCAAAGCAAAGCAAAACCAATATCACGTCCCACGCATAAGCATAAGCATAAGCATAAATACCTTACCTTACCGTCTTACCTTTCGAGAATAAAGTAAAGTACGGAAGTGCTTCAAAATAGAAACCAAACTTCTAAAGCACCTCGAGGGGTAAGGTAATACTTAAGCTTGGATCGTGGTATGGTACAGTAGGTATGTACGTAGCACGGCTGGCGGGCGAGCGAGAAGGCGAGCGGGCGGAAGGGCGGGATAGTCGTAAGGCAAAGCAAGGCAAGGTAAAACAAGCCAGCCAACCCAAGCCAGCCTAAGACCTAATATGACTATAGTAAAAAAGCCAAACACGCTTCGCACGATACTTAATCGTCGGTTACCTTGAATTTTATCTGTAAAAAATCCCGACTTGGCGCAGTCAGGTCGGCATCACTAAAGCGGGACACCCAGCAAGGCGGGACAGTAATGATATACCATTTATTAAATAACAACTATCAATATTTAAAAAAGATAAAACGAAGTCTTTTTGTGCGTAGGAAACTTTGCTTTATATACTTGAATTAGAGTTATTAAAATGTATTCATTTATAGTGATTTAATATATTGAAATGTAATAAAAAAAAAAAAGTAAAAACTGTCCTAAATAATTCAAATTTACTTGTTTATTGCGAATATCGTAACAATTACAACCTTAATTACAAAAAAAAAACTTTATATAAATCGAAAACAAATGATTTAATATACTAAATTATTAAAAAAATATTAATTATTAAATCAAAGTCGATCATAATGCACGTATTCTTTTGATAGGTTTGAATAAAAGGCCGATTTTCGCTGCTCCTCGCTTATTCTAGTATATACGCGGCAATTCTGATATATACGCATTTTTAAAATCGAAAAAAAAAAAAACCAGTACCATTTTTATTACTTTAACTCAACACAATAAAGAAATAACAAGTTGTAATTAAGATCTAATTAGTTGATTGATACAAATCTCAACATCTAGCATCTGTTTATATAAGAATAATTATTCGATAATGGTTGATTGATTTTCTGTTTATTAACAAAGAGCAGATTTTACTGTCCCGCCGGGCTAGGTGTCCGTCCCGCTTTGGTGGTGCCGACTTGCTACAGCACGTCGGTTAATTCTTTCGAATTGAAATTTAAAGGAAACCGATGATTAGGTACCAAGTATCTACTTATTTACTTGAATCCAAGTAACGAATTGGTGCAGAACCAAGAACCAAGATTCTATTTTTTTTTTTTTTTTTTTTTTTTTTTTTTGGCTTACGGACGCGTAATGGGCGTAGCGGAGAAGAGATGCGATGCGATGCGATGCGATGCGATAAATAAATAGATGGATAAGTTGTTGCGTAAGATAAGATATTAAGACGGGTAGGCTGGTGATTAGTTGATTAAGTTGGTTAAGTCCAGCTTAGCATCTATCCAGTCCAGTCCAGTCGGATCCGAGTTCGAGTCTAGTCCAGTCGGGTCGGGTCCGAGTCCAGTCCAGTCCCAGGTCCAAGTTTAAGTCCAAGTCCAGCAATAAAATAATAACAATGATAATAATAATAAGTCATAACAATTCCAGCTTTAATTTCTACGCTCACCTTATCTATCCCAGCCTTAGCTTTCAACCCCGCCGCGCTTTCGTAGATGCAGATGCGTCAAGCCCGTCACCTCGTCTCGTCTCGCTTTGCCTCGCGTCGTCTCGTCCGCGCCGTCCAGCGTCGGCACGACCAGACAGATGGATAGATAAATAAATCAATGCTTCAGCTTTACCGTCCGATCTAATCCGATCTGATCCGATTTAATTAAACTCGTGCTATAATATAACTGACAGGATATGATAATAATATGTCTATTTATTTTATTCTCTCTGTTCTTTTTTAATTACGTAGCATTATTACTGTTATTGTTGTTATTGTGATCAAAACAATTGATTTATCGATTGATTTATCCATCTACCCCCCTTATACTTCTTCCA